TTATATAAAATGAAAAAAGACAGGAAATTTGGAAAAAAAAAGAAACAATATGTTTTACTTTCTGCGATATAACATATCCAATAAAAAATTTTTTTTTAAGAAATCAAATTTCTTCATAAATTTAGACCAAAATGTATTCTGCTACATATTTTTGGTAAAAAAACTCTCAATAAGTGTATATTAATTGGTTTGTGTGAAAATGTTTGTGTCTAAAAACTATGGTACCTATATGGTATTAAACAAAAAAATTTATTTTTTTATACTATACTAGTAATGGTGGTAATAAGCGACCTATAGCTTGACAATGATAGTACAAAGGGCAATCTGATGCTAACTGACACTTTGTGGGAACTAACTGCCATTGACATCTCCAGTGGCACTAATACAGTGAAGAGTGCTAATATACACTGACACTGTACTAATGATGCTGGCTGGATAGGGATTAACATCTAGGGTGATCAAGGGGTTAAATGTGTGCCTAACAATGTTTAGTGTGTGTACTGTGTGATGATTTAACAAAGCAAGGTCCATAAAGACATGGATGAGCGAGTTTGGGGTGGAGGAACTTGACTGGCCTGCACAGTGTCCTGACCTCAACCCGATAGAACACCTTTGGGATGAATTAGAGCAGAGACTGTGAGCCAGGCCTTCTCGTCCAACATCAGTGCTTGACCTCAAAATGACCTTCTGGAAAAATGGTCAAACATTGTGAGAAATGTGCCAGTTTTTACTCCCTGCTTTTCAGTGAAATAAAATCCAGCACATCCCTGCTGTCAGTATAGAGCTGTGTGTTGTTTAAAATCACAGAGCTCGGTCCAGTCATCCACTTTGCCAGATGGTGGGTCCCAGCCATCAGTCATTGGCCCGGGACCCACTGATAGGCATGTGCTGTAACTAATCACAGCACAGCCGAGGCGGTGTGCATGCCCCCTACCCAAAAGAGCTATATCATGTATCCGATATGTGAATATAGTGCAGAGAGGTCGCTTTGCACCCGTACATCCTCATGATATGGTCACCAAGTGGATAAGCCATGTTTTTTAAGCCCAGTGTGCATGATTCCTAACACCAAACTGGGAAAAATATGTACTGGGCATATTCTTGTAACTGCAAAAAAACAAACAAACCTCAAAGACCACCAGTAGATGGCAGTATCAGTCCATTATTTATGTCCTATAGGGATAAGGTAGGGACAATCAGTGAGTAGAGACATGTACACACAGGGATGGGTTTGGCAGGTACTGGCTCCAGGGTAGAGATATGTTCAGGTCAATCTGGAATTGGACCTGAACACAGCCTGTCCGGGGCTTGGTGACAAAATAATGGCCAGATTTGTCTAGTTCACCCTCCTGAACCCCCAACATCCCTGGTTACTTTGTTCACTAACAGTAGCAGTCCCGGGACCTGTCTTTTAGCGGTGGTAAATACCACAGCAGGTGTTTTAAGCTGTAAGAAACCAATCTGAATCTGACTTTAGTCTTCACACACACAGGACATACAAGATGTCACTTTTACAGGCATTTGCCCTTTTCCTGTCTCTGAATGCACCTCTATGTTATCCTATGTGGCCGTGCAATTTAAATAGGGACATGTGTGTTCCAGTGCATTTTTGGTGCGTTTCGCCCATCTATTTCCTACCAAGAAAAGATGTCACTAAACATCATAGACACACTTAGGGCTCTCTCACATGGTGGGGACCTGTTTAGCGGATCTGCTTGCTCAGCGGGAGATATCTCCACTGATCCCCTCTGAGCAACCGGATGACAGCTCTGTGTCCCCTCCACTACTGCAGAGCAAACACAGAGCTGCTCGCTCCCCTCAATGGACGGTCGGATGAAAATGGTCCGATTTCATCTGATTTGATCTGACAGACGGAAGGGGAATTGGATCCTCATCTGTCCCTTTTTTGATGGATCGGATGTCAGCGGGGTGTAAACGGACACATGTCCATTTAAACTCACAACTCCATAAAGGATAATGGAGGTTCCAATTGGGTCCACCTGAAAAAAGGGCAGGCAGACCCAATCAGACATTCATGTGAAAGAAGCCCTTAGGATCCATGCACACTAGCTTTTTTTTTTTAAGCTACAAAAAATGCTGGGTAAAAACGCTGGTAATAGCATTTTTTATTGCGTTTTAGGCTCCATGCATACTAGTGTTTTTTTTTTCTGCTCCTAAAAGCTGTTATCATAATTTTTTTCTGCTGCTGCTAGAAGCTAGATCATGTTATCCTCTGTGTCCATGCACACTGCTTTAGGCTAGTAGCGTTTTTTAAGTTTCAGTGTCTATGAGCCGAAAAAAAAATAGTTTTTGTAGTTTTATGGAGCATTTTTTCCAGCAGAAAAAAAAATACTAACTGCTTCTAAAGGCTACTAAATGCTATTAAAATGCTTCTAACAGCTTTTTTTCTAGCTTTTTTTTTCTACATGTACTGTACAAACACTAATCAAACTCCAATGCTAAAAATTGCTTTTGTAGAATTGTTTGGAGCATTTTTCCAGCAGAAAAATACCCTAAACGCTGCTAAACATTACTAAATGCTTCTAAACCATACTAGACCACTACTATAAAATGCTATTACCAGCATTTTTTTACCCAGCTTTTTTTCTGGCATTTTTTTTTTTAAAACAAGAGCATGCAGTAGCATATTTGGAGCATTTAGGAGCACCAGCGATTTATTAGTGTTTTTACTGCACATATAGGGAAAAAAATTAAAAAGCTAGAAAAAAGCTGTTGGGAGAATTTAGCGTTTTTTTTTTGTGCCAGACAAACGTGCCCAAAAACTCTACAAAAACAATTGTTTTTCTGCTTCTAAATGCTGAAGCATGAAAAACACTACTAGCCTAAAGCAGTGTGCATGGACACATAGGCTAACATTATTTAGCTTCTAGGAGCGGAAAAAAAAAGCTGATAACAGCTTCTAAGAGCTTTAACCACTTCCCCCCCAGCCTATAGTAAAATGACGGCCAGACGGGACTCTCGTAGATCTGGGAGGGCGTTATTTTCACCAAAGAAATGAAGCAGAATACATTTTGGCCTAAATTTATGAAGAACAATTATTTATTTGCAAACTTTTATAACAGAAACAAAGAAAAACGTGGGGCTTTTTTCAAACTTTTCATTTTTTTTTTGTTAATTTAGCAAAAAAAACCCCAGTGGTGATTAAATACCACCAAAATAAAGCTCTAGTTCGTGTGAACAAAATGATACAAATTCAGGTTGCCATTCAAAAGTACCCGGTATTGTAAAAGTGGTTAAAAAAATGCTAGTGTGCATGGAGCCGTACAGCAATGCTGTTCCTCTGCTGCTCCCACATTCCGTGTCTGTGTACAAGCTGGGAGCGGAGTAATAACGAGGCTTTTCCTGAATGATTGTAACTTGATATTTGTTATGAACGTCCTGCGCCGCGGTCTGAGTACAATTGGAAGTGGGGCCCCCAGGCTCCCGAGTGGATAACAGGACATGTGTGAGCAGCACAGGTATAGCACTGCTGTGAGCATATCTGTACTGTTCATTGGTAAACTGACACCCCTCCCCCACATTCAGAGCGATGGCACATATGTCTTGAAAGCACACTGAGGGTGACACAGGTGCTGTCCATCATACATCTGTCTCCTTTATGGGCCGTTCACACCATAGAAACGCAGTCCAGATGTATTCCAGATGTGTTTCTGCACGCACGGTTTTTACACATTTTTGGTGTGTGTTCCGATGCGTTTTTGTTGAGTTCCGGTTCATTTTTTCTCTTCCCTTTTTTCTTTTTCTACCTAAATCGAGATATGTGCATTTTTGGTGCATTCTGGTGCATTTTTCATGCATTTTACTGCACTCCAGTACAGTTCTGTGTAGGAAAAATGCAGCATAATTTTTTATCATGTATACAATTGCGACTCAGGGTCATGTAATTGAATGTGATTAAAACTAACCTTTCCTTTTCAATTGAAGTGCTATAATTTTCTGTAAAATGTAATATGGCTACCTTGAGACTTTCTGTACACAGATGGTCTACAGACCCCCCCCCCCCCCCGAAAATGTAATTTCCTGCTTGAGTGATTGGTGAAAGGATGATTTTCTTTATCCCCCTCAGAGACCCCCGTCTGTGGAGAGATTCCTGGTTTATCAGCAGAATTCTGGGAACACCCCTTGAACACAGAAATAACGGCAGCTTATGTTAAGAAGATGTTCAAAGTTTATTAGACATTACTAAAATTATATAGGATACAGAAAAAATAAGGGAGGGGGGGAGCGAGTTTCAAAAACTGTAACTTGTAAGTTTCCATCATGAGCTAACTACATGAAACATGACATATACATTTCTTGGTATAAATTGTTTTTTTGCCAGCTTTCTGAAAAATAACCAGACAAAGACATTGTCAGTTTCGTGTTATCTTTTGTTGATAAATCCTTGAGCAAACTAAACAGTTTCATTAAACTTCTAATATATCTTCAAAAACCTAACTTAATACTTAAAATGGCGTACATAAAACAAAATGGAGGTTATCTAGATCCTTTCAATTGGCTCACTGATTTTCCCAGAATCTGCATTAAGATACATTTTTGGCATCCCCTACAACAATAATATAATTTTTGTGAGATGCTCCCAAAAGGAAATCATATCTAAAGGGATGCAGACCCCGCCACTTTCCTCATTGGCATCCGTCAGGTGCCTCCGCTGATTGATAACAATTATAAAAGCCACTCCCATACAGATTCACTCAGCCCCATGGACACAGTAAAAAAACAAACATCTGTTACTCCAGAAATAACAAAAGGTAGGCATCTGCAGCAAAGTTTACATAGATCACCGAGAGGGGAAGGGTATCTTCTCACCAAAAGTGGAGTTTCTTTTTAAATTTTCCATCATGATTAACAGTTCTCTTGCTAACAATAACAACCCATTTATTAAAATATATTACCATGAATGTTCCCGGTGTGAAATCTGTGATTGTGTTTTTTTTAGAAAAGAGGAAGGAGGTTTTTGTACGGCTCTGTATCACTGTGTGAGAGGGAGCTCCTTACTATGCTGACAGAGATATCTTCCTTCATCATCTTCAGTTGCGCTCATTAATAGTTAATTTGAATTCAGTTCCAGATCCGGAACCACTGAACCTGTCCGGGATCCCAGATTGCCGAATGCTGGCCCGATAGATAAGAAGCTTTGGAGGTTGTTTGGGCTTCTGGTTGGTACCATTGTGTAGGTAGCTGGTGCTGAAAATATTTTAGGCTTGTACTGGATGTACATGTGATGGTGATTGTCTGTCCCGGGGACACAGAGATAGAATCTGGGGAGTCTGAGTCATCACAATCTCATCCACAGGATCCTGAGGATGGGTAAGAGACATGTTGATTATTGATCAATGTCTGGATATCTTCCTATCAATCCTGATGTGTGTTATTTATTGTACAATGTATAAGATGTATGATGCAGAGGAGTGGATGGAAGGAGCTCATCATCTCTCACCCTGAATAGAAATGAAGATGGACAGCCAGCTCAGATAACTGGGAGAAGAAAGCATCTTGATGTTTCTGGAGGGTCAGATCCAAACTAGAAAGACGTCTCCTGTACAATGAGAATATATAGAGAGAGTGACCAGGGGATCGGTGTTCCCCCCACACACTGTGTATGCAAAATACGGGGAGATAGGAAATGAGAATTCTCAGATCAGTGATCTGTGCTAGAAACACTCCACAGTGGGACTCAGCTACATCTGATCACACTAAAACATTATACTCACCTTCTGTTCACCTAAACCAGTGGTCCTTTGCTTCATTTTATCCGACCCTTGGGGCATTATTCCATCACTGTCTGCAACAGTGGGCCATATAGTTTCCTGCCATGACACCATACAATGGAGAACTATTCCTCCCACTGATACCAATGATGCGAGGCACAATTTTCTCTCTCATTTATATCACAATAGTGTTGATACTATACCTCCCACTGCCACCAGTCATGGGCATTTGTAACTGCCACTGACACCAGGACTTTTTATATTCTCACTGACCACAGTTTTGAGACCCCTGATCTAATCTAAAGGGCCTAATTATAAAAAAACACCTGGAATATATAAAAAAAATAATTAAATGACCGTCTAGTAATGTTATATCCAGTTATTACATTTATTATAATTCCATACACAGTCACTAAAAATAACATTATTATTATTCAGGATTTATATAGCGCCAACAGTTTGCATAGCACTTTACAATAGAAAGGGAGACAGTACAATTACAATACATTTCAGTACACAAGGAATAGGAGGGCCTTGCTGATGGAGCTTACAATCTAAACCTAACATAGGTATACTCTAACGGGACAAGCGGATGATCTAGCTTCCCACCTTTCAGAAATACACTCCCCCTCCTTAGCAGTATTCTATCTGGTAGAAAACTGACCGCTGATGGAAATGACCAGGGGGCAAAAATCCAAGAAAAGTCCTATATTGTAACAGAGGAAACAGATCTGTATGGAGAAGTCAGAGCTCTCCATGTCCATGGAAGGGACTGATAGGTCATTCAATAATTGCTCTACAATCTCATATTCTGCGATGTAAATGTGTTGCCTGCCGGGTCATTTTGGTAAATGATGTCACCATATAGAGGAACACCTGTTAGGATGACATCATAATCAGAGTGTTGTCCTAGTGGTGTAATCCGAGGTGATACATGTCTGCTTTAGTCTGAATAATATTCTGTATATGACCAACATTTTTCTGTTCCTGTATTCATTTCTCTGTCTGGTCACAGCCCCGCCCCCTGCGCAGGTCCAGATTTCTATACTCCTAATGTTCATTATTATTGCCACCCCCCCCCTATGATCACAGATCTTGGCAGCCATTCACTCCTCAGTATAAATAAGTGAAACGTTTCATCTGAAGTATTGATCAATACCGTACATTTAAATTTCTAAACAGAGAATACTGAAAACAAGAGATACTTTTGTCTCCCTAATCAATGGTTTCTGTGACTTTCCAAAAACAAAAATCAATCCTCACATGGGCTCTTTCACAGGGGTGTCAGTGCTTATGAACCTCTGAAAAGTGATCCACCAATGGGTTGCTTTTCAAAGGATGGTATAGCAGCAAAAGTCATTTTCAAAAGAATCCTCTATGTCTAAAAATCCAGTTGTGTAATCAATCAAATATAATACTACATGTTGTGCTCTTCGTTTCTAAAATCTTTGTTTTATATGATCACCACATGTAGACACCCATCCACCGACAGTAATACGCTTCTCACCTTTTTGATAGAACTTCACACACAAGGTCTCATGTGCCTGTCCCTTGTAGTGGGGTCACCTATATCACAAGAGTCATGGTTTCCTCCAGGTCAAGAAGATTTTCAGAAACGAAGAGCACAACATGTAGTACATATTTGAATATTTGTACAATCAGATTTTGGACATTTTGGTGGATTCTTTTGAAAATAAATAACACTTGGAGTTTACCCATTAATTGATGTGTTGTAGTTATGGGTGTGGCTTGTTTCAGATATATGATGATGAGTTAAACGCATCTAATTTATGCATGATTCTATGTTTTGACATATACACATATGATACACGCATGTCCACTGAACATACTTTATTATAAGATCTAGTTTTATGTGTTGTAGTTATGGGTGTGGCTTGTTTCAGCTATATGTTGATGAGTTAAATGCATAGATTTTATGCATGATTCTATCTTTTTGTATATAGATGCATATGATACACTCATGTCTACGGAACAACTTTATTATAAGATCTAGTTTATGTTTTTTTTGATATGTTTTGTAGTTATCGGGATGTGGCTTGTTTTCAGATATATGGTGATGAGTTAAACACATATATTTTACACATGATTCTATGTTTTGACATATACACATATGAAACACGCATGTCCACTGAGCATACATTTTAATTATAAGATTTCATTTGAGTATTGTTTTCCAGAATATATTGTGATGACATAGACGCATACATTCTATGCATATTCTATGTTTGGACATAAACACTTAGGATACACACATGTCCACCTAATTCATTTTATTAATGATGTTATGTGATATTGCACAGCACATGAGAATTATCATCGGAAGATTTAGTACTGCGCAGCACTGAGTCACTTATACTGTTATACTAGCATTAGTTATACATCGCTGTTAGATAGAGTTTTCTTCCATTAGTTTGCACTGTTTACGGGTGATTGCACTGAGGATTTTTCATTGCTGCCCAGGGCATTCCGGAGGCAATCCTGCCACCTTCTGAATGTCTTTTTTGGTTTTTTTTTACCTAAGGGGGATTTTGTACTACACAAATGCTTGGCTTGTGGTTGTGGCACACTTCCTTTGTCTTTAATGGGCATTTTTGACAGGAGGTGCTACCTATCAAACTCTGCTAGTCAAGTAAAACAAAATTGCAACACAGCCACAAAGCAATGCATTAGAGCTACACCATTGTGTGCAGCCCAAACTGGTTGTAATGATAGAATTTATGTCTGCAATTGGGGGTGTATAACCATAGTTCAACCACCTGTTTTTAATGCTCTTTGGTCACACCATTTGAAAGAGGCCATAAGACTAACCTTTGTGTGTCTGAACACTTTTCTCTCCATCCCCTGTTCCTGAAATGTGATACTGTCAGAGCTTCATCAATGAGCTTTTATGATCCCTAGGAGCGTTGTGGTGATTGAAGCATTTACTTCGCTTTTCAATTTTTCCTTCATGACTGGAGCCAGGGAAAAATCTCCCACTGGTTTGCATTTAACATAAGCAATATTTACAAGTAATTATAAGACCTCACAAACATGGACATATGAGTTTATGAATAATATCAATGAAAATATGCTGCACTACATATACAAAAATGCACAATACCTATAAAATATATATATGTAGAACATGTGTTATCAACAGAAATGATGTGACGCAAAATAAATTAATGAAATTAATATTCAAAAAAAAAAAAAAATGAAATTTAAAGTCCAATTATTTATGTGTTCTCCTGTGATCCCTCCTTGAGATAACAACTGTCCACCATGTGCATCTGTTACAGAATTCCAGTGCAAACCATCTCCCACCATAAATCTGCTCACACTCACCCACAATCCTAGGAGCGATGTGTGGAATTACTACTACCGCTATCGCAGTAATCTCTCCAGGATTGTCATATTTGTAGGCAGTTGCAGTTATACACAGGGCCCTGCATTGCCTTCCAGTATACTTTGTATAGTGACAGGGTGGAGCCTGGACTGGTTTCTATGCTGCTGGGGATGAATAACTAGCCATCTTGTGCCCAATTAGTGCATTACTGGATGATTTCACCATACATGGTGTAGATATGGACCTCCGGAATGTGAGTGCATTACTTACTGGATATTATTCATTAGTTAGGCCACTGAGACATGGGTTGTGTGCACTAGCAGCTACAGTATTCATTAATCATACTAATTTATTTATATTTTGTATTCACCATAGTAAGCACTTGCGTTTATTCACAATTTTATTATAACTAGCAATATGAGTTTATGTTCAAAGTATGCTGGATTTATTTTTGCCAGAGAAGTTTGAGCATTTTTATGCATGTAAGACTTTGAGTGTAAATACATTACTACTGGCCAGAATAGTAATCTTCCACACATGAATACACATACACTACATGTGTGAATTATTCCCATAAACTCCTCTCAGAATATAGCATTTGGTGCATTTTTTCTGCCTGTAAACGCTGCTCTTCAAATATGCCTGTAAATGCTTATGTGTGCATGGCCACATAGCCTAACAAAGAGGTGTATTTACAGGTGCAAAAATAAAAACCAAAACACAACACTGAATGTCTATATAATCACTTACCATTCAGAAGATTTTACCCCCCCATCTGATCAGGCCATTTGTTTTAACTATTTGGCACTGCGCTACTTTAACTGACAATTGCTTGGTTGTGCAATACTGTGCGCAAACTAAATGGATATCATTTTATTACACAAAATAGAGCTTTCTTCTCGTGGTATTTGATCACCACTGGGTTTTTTTTCTCATCCTTTTTATTATATAAATGAAAAATAGACAGGGAAATACAAAAACCCCCGCGCGCATTTTGAAAAAACAACCCCAAAAGTTTTACTTTCTGAGCAATTATAACCATACATCCAAAAAACTTTGCATGAAATCAAATTTCTTCAATAAGATACATATATTTCAAAAGTATTGCGTGCTAGCTATATTTTGGTAAAAAAACTATATTCCAATATAGTGTATATTAAATTGGTTTTGCGTGAAATATTTGTGTCTACAAACTATTATAATGTACTAGGAATTTGAATGTATTTTATATACTAGTAATGGAGGCAATAAGCGACGCTACAGATAGACAGTGATCAGTAACGGGAGGGCAATCTGATTGCTTAACTGACACTTTGTTGGGAACTAACTGCCATTGATAATCTCCAGGTTGACACTAATACAGTGAAGAGTTCTAATATACACTGACAACTGTGATGCTACAATGTTACGCTGGCTGGATAGGGTGATTAACAT